TCGTGAGGATCTGAGCCCCGAACAAACTGCCGGGCAATGGTCGCATCCGCTCGACTACAGGTGAACTCTTTATAAACGTATGTGGATTATTATCAGTATCGCTTTGTAACTTATTAACAATGTTTTAAACTGCTGTAATAGTTTTCTTATCGCTTTTTACTTCTACCACAATTTCATGAAAATTTATAGCAGGAAAGAAGACAGCAAGCTGGTTTACAAAGCTTTGACCTTGTTTATTTCATCAAAGAATGCATGGTAAAAATATCTCATTTCATAATCAAATGAAATTAGAACTTTACTCTTAGACATAAAGAATGTTAACCGGAAAGCAACGCAACATTCACTATCAAGAATATAAAATATACTGAAGACGTCTTTTCTCCGCGCACTATAAGACAAAAATATCCTTGACTCAAGAAAAAGAAGACATAACGCCACCATGATTCTTTATTCCGTTTACAGAAAAGAATTATTATTCACAGAGTAAACAGTGAAAGTTAGACTTATATACATTATTATATGTTTTTGTATTAATGCTAACAAGCTATGTTTTCGCCAAACAACGTGTACGGCACGTTTACTTGTAAGGAATAATTTCATTTCCCCTGTGGTATTTTCTGGTGAAGTGCTCACTGATAGCTAGAAGATCCAAAATTCAAATCTCTCCTGCGACATAGTTGCGATAATTTTTAGATCACCAGCGGCCAAGCAATAAGATCACTTAACACTGGTATTTCGACCCGGGTTTAGTTGCTATCTGTTTGTGTTGTAGCTTTCGTGACTTTCTTCTCGTGTCGCTTCAAAACGAGTTAATTGTCCTCAGAAAGAAACTCCTCCGAAGGTACTGCCCACCAGCGGCCGAGCGGTAAAGACGCTGAACACTGGTAGTTCGGTCCGAGGTTGGAATCCCGCGAACGGGCTGGCTGCATGGGCGTTTTCGTGGTTTTCCCCATGTGTAACGTGTATATGAGCCAGTTTCCCTTAGAAAGTCCTCCACGAAGGCATCCCTCCCTTTAGGCAGATAGCCCTCGTGTGCTTTGCCATAATTGGATAACCCGTAACCCATAACCCGAAGGTACTCTTTCCACGGATAGACGTCGAGTGCTTTGCCATCATCCCAATTACCCAACCCAGTCCTATGTTTCTTCATCCGAGAAATTTAGGAGTCTCCACAGGGAAGCCGGAAATAAAATGTGATGGACGACAACCCATCACCACTTGGATATGGTACTTTGCCTATACATAATTGTCCGATAAATGAGAGAGAGTGTAAGAAATGTTGGCATTCCCCGCTTGTATTCTGTTGGTGTAAGTGGCCAGCACGTCCGTCTAGCCAGTGGAAAGTCTGTGGTTCGAATCTTCACAAGGGAACAATTCATTTTCCCCATTTCTTGTACAGAAAGATCATCTGAACTATAATAAATTACTATTTATAACAAAAAATAAAACCCATTCAACCTAAACTAGTTAGATATTCTTAAAATACATGCTACTCTGTAGTACGCTTTTGTGTTTTTTTAAAGAGGAAAAAAATAAAAATACATAAATTATCAGCAAGTTTAATTTTAAATGGCATCGCAAGAAAAGCAAGTAGCCTAGGTAACTAAACTTCCGAATAACTGCGGGCATCTGGATAAATCTAATTCTTTTGCAATTAAATTAACTTGAGATTTTAATCACATCCTGAACTACATTCATTCATTAAGCAGACAACTTATACCAACCTATAGCGTTTTTCAGCAGTTTCCTAGACTCCAGTAAGTATATAGAAAGATAATTTAAATATATATTAACCTTAAATGCCTTCATATTCGTAAACATATTATGCTTACCTAAGATTGTTGACCATAGCTTTCGGAGCTCTGAGATAAGGCGTTACCAGAGATACGGAAGCTTATTTGGCTTCATTGCGAAATTTTCTCTTCACGAAAACTGACACTTTGAAGAAAACGTAGGTCGAAGAAATTGGAACTCTTTGATGTTTCAACAATTAGTAATGATACAGTGTAAAAATAAAATGAAGGGAAATTGAAGAAACCATTGAAAGCTTAATTATTTTAATTGCTTATTTCTGCAATTAATAAACAAAGTATAAAAAAATTAAAGAAACTGCACAATGTTGCTTAAAAATGCAAGACGAATTCTGGCTTTAGAATTGCGACAAAATTACGAGAGCAAGGCCGACGCTAGATTTTTTGCCGCCCGCTGCAAACTCTCTAACTCCGAAACTCTGCCGCCCTTAAATTCTGATGTTGCAGCTGCAAGGGTTGCACCTACTCTGACGTCGGCCCTGGCTGCATGCAACTCTAATCTAAGAGCACCCGAAGAAATTATTTCATCAAAGAATTTCCAAATTTCAGGGAATTATATTTTCTTTCTGAAACTATTTCAAGTGAAATTAAACCTATATTTTAAATAAAAAATCTAATTTCAGTTTCTTTTGGTAAGACGATACAAGACGATTGGTACAAGACGATAAGAGCAATGTATGATTGATTCAAATTTAATTCTTGCCAGAATCTCAATTAAATTTCAATATTCCAGAGAAAGCTAGGCAGAAACTATTAAGAACTTCAGAAAAACTTACTGAATACATACATTGCGTGCTTAAATGCAAACCGTACATGTTAATGTACAGCTGCAAATTTTTGAGTTTGCTTGCTGGTTTAATTAAATATGGAAAAGGATACAAGAACTGTCTATTTAAGGCAAGGAATGTTCTGTCCTGCAGGATTTTATATGGGAAAACGGATAATATTTATGTTAGACAACGAGGAACTAACCCCCACTCGTTCTCCGGAATTTGTGCCCTCGTTTCACTCAAGAGCCATACTTTTACTCAAGTGATGATAATGAAGAAAGCGAAATTCTAAGAAAATTTCATTCTCCCAAAGGAAGAAGAAAGATGACAAGTTATAGACCTGAGAATTACATTTATAGACCTTTTTTTTTTCGGAGTCATTAAACGAAAGTGAAGGAATTTCTATTTTAAATACATTAGTACATTCGTTTCGTTAATATAATTTATAATGTGAGTGTTTCTTGAGTATTTCGTTCACGTTCTGTTTTGTAATTTAAAACCAATAACGTTGAATGTGCATAATATTACAAATTATTGTCATAAGGCGGAACAACAAACAGCTGGTTAAACACTGATCGTTTCGTTTTAGAATCCGCCCAGCAGTGGCCGAGTGGACAAGACCGTTGCACACTGATAGTTCGACCCGAGCTCAGATCCTTGAAAATGGGCTGGCTACTTGGGCGCTTTCATGTCTTTCCCCATATATAACTTGGAAACGAGCCGGTTTCATTGAAAAAGCTGTCCATTAAGACATACTATTTTCCCATAGGTATAGAGCCCTAGCGTGCTTTATCCTGATCAAATAATTCTATTCCATTTTCGAATAAATTTTCCTTGTCCAAAAAAAAGAGTTCCAAATAGAATTTTGATGTATAATATCTACCTGCAGGAAGACAACCGAAATGAATGAGCTAATTTTTTAGCATTATTTTCTACATCGTTTCGTATACCAGTCAGTTAAATATCTTTTTAGTTTCGGCGCCCATTATATCAGTTTTCTTTTGCATAACTTTGGGCAACTATTTGTGCGAAAGTAAATTTATAGCATTTCTTCGTTGTTTTCCTTTTTACACATTAATAAACATCCCAATAGTCTCAGTTTAAAGTAAAGCAAAAGTACTTTTTAAGTAGAATTGTTTGAGTGAAATATGACGTTAAAAGTTTCCGACAGATTACATACAGAACTTAGTGAAGTACCTTTTTCATTATGTATAGCATACTTCGGAAATTTTGAGCAAACTAAAAGATATAGAAATTTTGCTATCCCCCAACTCAGACAGGAGGCCTTAGAATTAATGTACTACTTGAAGAAAATATTTGAATGTGATGATAGGCAGAAATTAATTATCATTTAAAAAATTTAAGAGAATTTATTTTAAAATAATAGTCTTTTAAAACAGATGGTACAGACAGGTATGGTATCTTCCACATCGCGATCGTTTTCTGGGCGGAAATTAATTTCTGAATCTACGAACTTGAGTCTATCAAAATATTCAGTGTTTTTCTTCTGCATCTCTTTCTTAAACTAAAATATAATTTTCCAATATAATTTAATAATATTTCTAATATTCTGTTTAAAAAATGCCGGACGTGTTTAATAGCTAATTAAAAAACTCCATAATATTTTTGACTTGTGCTGCTTATAGTTACTTTTAAATTAAAATTACTTTTAGCTATGAATTTTTTATGTATGTTTTATGTATTATAAATTAAATTATTATTTTTGTACTATAAGTTTTCTATGTATTAATTACGTATTAAACGGCAAAATTCTATACTAACTCTTTCATTACTCATTTGAATATCACTGTGATTGCTTTCATTAACTTTTATTAAAATTCAAACACTGTTTACTTTAGTCAAAAATCAGTTTTCATTTATCTTTCATCTCTGTCAGCCGACAAATACTTGATTTTCTTTTTAATTCTTATTCAACTTTTATACCGAATAATTTCACTATTATTTTTCCACATACCTTCAAGCATATTCATTTCAGAATCTTAATTATTTTACTTTGACCTTCACCGAAAAACATGTACCTAGTTGATTTAAACTAAATTAATAAAGAGCAGCTTTTAATAATAAAACTTTTTATTCGTTCATTAAGGGATAAGCAGTTTGCCAATGAAACAATGGTGCTCGAATGGAAGAAAAAAAATCACATTTTAAATATTAAAAAAGCGAAATGTTTTTTTGATATGCCTTAATCATGAGTTGCTTAGACAATTCATTGACGATTAAATTGGCTTAGTGATTATATTCTAAAACATCATATATCAAGCTTTCCTATTCTTTTTAGTTTATTTTCGTTGATGAATAGGTTTATAAAACTGAAAAGACACCAAAATCTGGGTCTTGAATTACTTGAAATTACATTTTCACATAGACCCAAAAGCCAATTAAGGATTTTAAAATTTTATAAAATTTAAATATTTTTTATTTATAACTATATATTTAACAATATAAAACTTATATTCAGTATATAGACGATATATGTATATTATAAAATTAGAGATTGTGTATCAATTCAAAACCATATACAAATTCCATTTCCAAGCAAATTTAAGCTCTAAAAATCACAAAAGGTCTGTTTAGTTTTACTTCAGTTTATACATTGTAAAATTACAAGTTAAGATGGCTAGATATCCCATTTCTTAAATAATACATTAACTACAATACTGGACGGATAGTTAGTGAATATCATTCTCCCCTTTCTTTCAACAAATTCCACCTCTAAAGAAGACTATTACATGTTCTGCATCCATTGGTTCAGCTCGACCGCAGAAGATCTCTCTGAAAGAAAAACATTAGTTTACCAGACAGAATAGTGAAGGAATAACAGAAAGAAAGATAAATGGATTATACTACTGAAACCTGATTATCTGGAGTTCTTGCCGTTCTAATACGCAGAAGTTAAAGGGAAAACAAGCACTTAATAAATACATGTTTTATGAAAACTTATTTTAACAATTTTTATGTTAAATAATAGACATTTTCTCAGTTATCTTTCATTTTAAATAACTGATATTTTTATTGTATTTTTTATTACCAATATCGTTTCTAAGTTCCATAGTTTTAATTTTTTTTTTTTTTTTTTTTTTTTTTTTGTTTTTTTTTTTTTTTTTTTCTGTCATGCAAAGTTGTCCTGCTGAGTGTTGTTAATACATATATAATTAATAACGTATTACTGATACTACAGCGATGTACGTGATAAATTTTATTTTCTTAAAAAGAAGAATTGCGCCAAAAGGCTTTAAGGTCAGCTTTGGTTAAAAACGACGATCTCTGTAATGTTACTCGGAAATAAAATAACAATAATATATCAACATTTTACATAATATGCTATTTTTATTCAATGTTGCGATTAAATCCGAAAAAGAATATTTGTTAAAAAAATCGAATTTATAAATTACCTAATTATTTTCTTTTTTAATCACAGCTTTATATTAGGATTTAAGCCCTGTTTAAAAAACTCTTAAGAGTTCATTACAATTATAGTTTGGCTTCTGCTTTAAAAAAATTGTCAAAATTCAAATTCTACAATATGTATAGGTTCTTGAACGCATCCAAACATGCTTTCGAATTTTAGGCTCATATTTCTAAGAAGGAAAAAAGGAATTCGCTTATCGTCACATTTTCACATAATGCATTCTATGTGAAAAATATTTAAGGTTCTAGAAACTGGTTACAGCTGAAAACATCGCAGCAAAAATATCGCGGACGAAAACGTCGCGGAGAAAACAACGCAAGGCGAAAACGTCGTGCTACAAAACATCGTGGGAAAAAACATCGCAAAGAGAAAACATCGTCTTCGAAAGTATCGTGGTAAAAAATAAAGTATCTACAAATCATCGCATGACGATAACATCGCAGACATGCTTTTTTCAGGCTTTAATAACTGTAAATAGATATTCCCATAATGATTTGCGAGTGCAAGATGGAAGGAAGGATAACTTTCATATTTTTTATTAACTAATAAATGTTTGCGGAGAAAATAAGAAGGAAACTTAAGCATAGAAAATTAATGCAACTTATAGCACTTAATAAAATTTTAAACCCACATAGTTAACTAACAAAAGCCATTAATAAATCATTTTTTATAAAGTTTTTACTGGTAATTTTTCACGAAAAGTATAATCTATAGGTTGCATTTAATCTTCTATGCTTAAGTTTCCTTCTTACTTTTTCAGCAAAAATGTATTGGTTAATAAAAAAATGTGAAAGTAAAAATTATCCTTCTTTACATCTTGCGCTCACAAATCATTATGGAAATATCACAAATCATTATGGGAATATCCATTTATTCTTATTAAAACCTGAAAAAAAAGCATGTCTGCGATGTTATCGTCATGCGATGATTTGTAGATACTTTATTTTTTACCACGATATTTTCGACGACGATGTTTTTAAACTGCGAAGTTTTTGAACCGCTTTATTTTCGACGACGATGTTTTGTGCCACGATGTTTTAGAACTGCCATGTTTTCTCTTTGCGATGTTTTCTCCCACGATGTTTTGTAGCACGACGTTTTCGCCTTGCGTTGTTTTCTCCCCGACGTTTCCGTCCGCGATGTTTTTGCTGCGATGTTATCGGCGGAACTATATTCAGTGATGATGAGACTTAGCGTCAACAATGAACAGACGCAAGAAGTCATTTACTGAGAATACCTAAGTTCAGAATAGTACTATATGGTGGTAATGGATCAGTTATTTTGTCTGATATATACTAATAAAAACATCGGAACACTATCCTGTGGAATTTGGTGCTAAATATTCTGTAACTGCTCAGCAAGTTTATGCGTACTGCATACTGAACGTAACTGGTGTCCTAATATGCCCCAATCATTTTCGACGAGGAACGATCTATTGGTCTGACAAGCTAAAGGATGATTGTGACAGAAAGGAGATATACACTAAAGAACGCAACTTGTGGTCAGAATATGTCTTCCAAGAGATGCCCCACATGCATAATAAAATACAGCATATCATTGATGAGTCGTCAAGCCATTAATATTTAGCAAAGTACCACTAAAGGCGACCGGGTATCATAGGCAGCGGCTTCTTATATGATAAGGGGCAAGTGTCGTGGTCGTATGCTACGCCACAATGACGTAGAATGAAGTGCAATACCAAAATAGGCGAATACTTTGATTTATCACTTAACATAATACGCTTCTAATCCGATGCATTCCAAGCTTCGCGAGGCGGCGATACCAGAGTAGGCACCGGTGGCCGACTTCCCTCAGTTAGTATTAAACGTCACAGCGAATACTGAAAATGAAGCTCAGGGTTCTGGCTGTCTTGTTGCAACGTGCTTTGTGACTCTACACATCCAAAAGTGGTGAATAAGAAATTCTGAATTTCAAATTATGAAGCTATCAGTGTACCTGCGGCAGTTCGTACTGACATGTGATCTTCCTGAGACATCAATAAATTGTCCTGCTATGTTTCCCGTTGTCCTCAAGGCGTTTGTAACTCCCTGCTGAAACCACTGAAAATTAGATGCTGTATGTGTCGTCACTCCGTCAACTGTATAGTTTTTATTGGATGCTTATTACTTATATTTCAACTGTATAGGGCCATTCCTCGGTATGACCAGTCTCTGAAAGCGGTGATGTTTCTCTCCACTGGGCTATAGTATGGAGTGAATCCTAGAATCATTCTCATTTGCTGAAGTAAACAATATTATCATACAAGTAGTCAAAACTGACAAAGCGGGCAATCAATATACCTTTTATATACTTTGGAATATGGGATTTCCATTTTAGACTCGTTCAAAAGATGTGTATCTTCTATCATTTAGTTCAAAAAGTATATGTATGTAAAAAATATCTGCCTTAAGATTCCTCTAGAGCAGGGATGCGTCAGCTACGGCCCGCGAATAGAATTTTAATTTGCCGGTCCGAAGCAAATTAAAAGAAATATATATTATATATCCATCTCCTTTTCTACTTTGTTTAAATATTATTTTTTTCTTCCTTTTTTTCAAAGGACTGGTGACATTTTTACTTTCTCTATTTTTGTTCCACAAAACATAAATTAACGGAAATAGCAAGCACAGATAGCTTTCAATCGGTAAAATGTTAAAAGCGAAACTTTTTTATTAGTTACAGCTGTAGATTGTCGCTAACAAATGGTTATCTCTTTCTCGAGGAGCAGACATATTGGAATCCAATATAGGTGAATTGGACCTCACATGTGGCAGACTGCACATTTTATGCTCCAGTCAGCGGCTTTTTCTTTTGCTGCGAGTTCTAATATCGTTGATTGCGTATGGAAAGATTGCAGACATATAGCATCATTGTGAATAGTGGTGAAATTATTAAAAGTATATCGTAGCTAGTGCTTGTTTGGGTTATTGGTAAAATATTTCAAACCCAAAATGGCTACTAAAAAACGTAAAGTTGATTCAGAGTGCCGTGCTTTTAATGATGAATGGACCTGGAAATATTTTTTTACAGTTGTAAAAGGCAAACCAGTGGTCTCATCTGCAATGAAGTTGTAACAGTCTTCAAAGAATATAACATTTCCCGTCATTTCACATCTAAGCATAAGAATTCCAATTACGATGCAATGTCCGAATATGAAAGAAAACAAAATGCAGAGAGTCTGTAAAAACTTTTCAGGCCGACAAAACTTTTCAAGAAGGTAAACAGTATCCAGATTTCAAGATTTCAGTACCATTAAAAAAGAATTGCTATTTTTACCATGCCTTTCAAGCTAAATTGTGAAGCAGTGAGGTCAGATTTGCAACTTGAATTAACTGAGTTGCAATCTAACAATCATCTCAAGCAGTTGTTTCTAAATATGCCAAAGTTAGAGTTTTACAAATCATTATCGAAAGTGAGTTTCCCAAATTTAATATCTCACGCCCAGAAAATCGGTGCTATGTTTGCTTCATCTTATATATGTGAACAAGTGTTTTCAACTGTGTACCTTAGAGAGAATTATTTCACAAGTAGACTGAGAGATGAGCATTTAGCCTCGTTCCTTAGAATCAGTACATCTCACTTCGAACCTCAATATAATGAACTTTTAAAAATGAAATAACAATTTCATTCATTCTATTAACATATTTTAATTGTATATTGGTTTTAAAATTTTAGAAAAATTTATCTTGGCCCGCGATTACTTTTTTTTTTTTTTTTTTTTTTTTTTTTTTTTTCGATTTTTGACCCGCTACCGAAAACGTCACTACGACCGAAACTAGTGTGTGAAGATTCGTGAAGTATCTGAAAATACGTTGTATCCTTTATAAAATTTTTCAAGTAAACATTTTCTCAATTTTCTCTTATTTTGCCTATCAGACCTCCATATACCCAACACTTTTTCCTCCAGTAATGAAATATAAGTAATAAGCATCCAATAATTTTACCCTCACTTACCAATGGTCTCGGATTTAGTCCAAAAGGATGAGAGTTCTTCGTTCATGATCCACACAACAAAGTGCCGAAAAGGTTGTTGACATTCTTTATATTTACTTATAATTGATTGAAGGCATATTTCAGCAATAAACCATTCAGCAAGATCCCAGGATTACGAATTTTAGTTAACGACTTGTATCACACTTAAAAAGAGATTTTTAACTTAAGTAAATGAATTAAATCACATTTCAAATTGCATATAAATACCGTCACTAGTACATTAATTTTACGACTTTAGAATGATTGATTCTTTTTAAGCGATTCTAGTTTACTTTTCTTTAAAAAATAATAATTCATTTACTGTTATATTTAAAGCAAGTAAATTCTCATATTTAATATAAATTTTTATACAAATTTGTAAAATTATGAATATTTACTTATTAAAATGTGACACATTTAGTAATATTTGGGAATGGATTTATATGGATGCGTAATTAAGAATTCCCTCACACGAATTTTGCGATTCAGTGCATTTGAAAGAAAAACAGAGTTTGCAGTACATTATTATGTATAGTTTTGAAGCTCTGAAAGTGAAATTTCATGCAAAATTTTATTTTGATGGGAAGAATTACCTGTAGCTGGTTTCGAGATTGGTGATGCGAAAACTGTGCACTTGAATTGAAGGCACGTCCTCGCTCAGAGAACGTGGCCGTAATGGAGACCAGAGTGCGTCCACTCGTAATAAACGGCCGAGATTTCCAGAGCTGATCACAAACTCCAAGGCACTGTCACGTGAAAACACAACTGGTCTGAAATTTTAAAACATTACATTTCTGGTTACTTTCACATTAGGAGTAATCAATTTTAAATGCACAAAATAAAATAAATCTATGCTAAGCCTCCACTGCACTATAAGGTATATGGGCTACCAATTGTTTATCATGAGTTACCATGGTTTACTCTATTATAGTCAAGCAACTGAGAAAAAAGATATTGGGTGGAAAGCCGATTTTCAGAGGATCAGGTTATAAACTTAATATTATTAACCAGTTCTCATTAGTTTCTTTAATATGGAAATCTGCCTAAGGAGAGAGGTGCCTTCGTGGAGAAATTTCTAAGAAAAAATGGCTTGTATTTGCATTACACATGAAGAAAATCATGAAGCAAAACACTGCAATTACCCCCCCCTTGCCTGGGATCGAACTGTCAGTATTCAGCAGCTTTAGTCCTTCGGCCACTGGTGAAATCCAGTTTTGATTAAAGTTGACTTATTTTGCTGTCGCTTAAGATTTCATATATATATAGGCACACTTGACAGAAGGTTGAGAAAATATCGGCTGAAAGAAGAGGTCAACAACAAATTTCAGACAAATACAAAACTGAAGACCTTATTGTAACTAATATTTGACTGTTATAAATTCAATCAGGTTTTCAACTTCCGTACCATTGACAGCGATAGAATCAGCATTAGAATTATATGAAAGAAGTTTTCAGGAGGTAAATACTAACTAGCTGTCGAAGAGTTTATAACATAGTGTGATAGAGATTACTAAAAATTGCCGTCCGACCCTTATAATTATTGAAATATTAGTTCGTTAGATGTCTGGAATATTTTAGTTATTAAAATTTCTGCCAAGTGAATTCTATGTTAACTTTCAGAATATAACTACAAATTCTACTTTAATAAAAGTTAAGATTGGTTGTATTTACTTTTGTAGCGTTCAGGTTTAATTTTATTTGCTTAGTAACTAACAGTTTACCCAATTCGCGTTAATTTTATCTAGATAAGTAAGTGAGTGAGTGAGTTCACCGCTATGATAGCTTCCGACCACGGACATGAACCAAACAGAATTATATACCATCACGGCGACGAAGACTCCAAAGTAACAAGGTTGACTAATACATACTAATAACAGTTTTTACATATTGATAACTGCAGGCACTAAGCGTTATTCTGGTTATCTGCTTTAAGTTCGGAACATTTGAAACATAATATTCTTCACGGTTGTTTCTACTTAGACAGTGTCTTGAGATTTTCTCTATTTTATCAAGGTCTACTCTGTTTTCGAGTGTGTTAAATGTCCACATTGCCCAGGCACAGTCCGCTGGTTTCTTCAAGTGCCAGGTTCTTGTATGTACACAATGGAAGTAATAATAATCCGCGTCGCCTTCCTATCCGCATTCGCAGAAAGGAGTATCCCTAATTCTAAATCTGTTCAAGTATACTGGGAATGATCCATGACCTGTCAAGAACTGTGTTAGGCTAGCACAGTGGGTCTTTATTTCCATGTTAACTTTTGGCAGTAAGCGAAATGTCCTTCGTCCTACCTCTGCCTCTGTCCATCTATTTTGCCAATTTTGTAGCACACTTGTCAAAGGTGTTCGCTTAATATGAGACCAAGGAAGTTTAGTTGGTCTTTCAAATATATCCGCGTAATTGGCTGCCTGCTTGGCCAGTAGGTCAGCGGCTTCATTGCCTTGAATCCCTGTGTGAGCGGTAACTCATTTTAAAGTGGGGTCTTTGCGAAATAGGCATTGTCAGAAGCTGTTTCTGAATTCGGTATGCCAAAGGACTCCGGCTGTTTTGACTTGCGATAGCCGCCAGACTTGATGCCGAATCACTGAGTATGGAGAATTTCTCCTGTTGACATGTATTCGCATATCTAATTGCAGCACTGATAGCTAGAAGCTCTGCTTGGTATACCGAGTTGTTCAAGCCTAGTTTCCTTTTCCACTCGAATGTTACAACGCCATTTTCCAGTCTACAGAAGGCGCTGCCCGTGCCGTTCTCAGTTTTGGAGCCATCTGTGAAAAGGTTATTACTGTTCCTCTGAATTGGTTGGCCGTTTATGCTGATACCGTCGGAGAGATTAAAAGTTGCTGGATGAAAGTTATTGTAGTTGTTTTGCTCCTCGTAGTCCGAGTGGTTATAAATATGACCACAGAGTGTTGAAGTTTGACCCAGCCTGGTAACCCTTACGATAGCTGCCTCCTTTTCTAGTATCAAATCTAGGGGAGGAATTCCTGCCAGTTGTTGTAGGGCTAGTGTTGACGTGGGACGGTAGGCCCTGCATACTTGACGTAGCTGCTGTCTCTGAACAGAGAGCGATCTTCTCATATGATAGGTAAGTTCACCACCCCAGATTGCTGCTCCGTAAGTTATTACTCTTTCTGTAATGGTTGTATGCCAAATGTTTAGTAGCTTAAATGAGATACCCCATTTATGTGAAGTCATACGTCTCATGTTGTTGCTTAGGATGCTAATTCGAGTTTTAAGATTCGTGACATGTGGCATCCAAGAAAATCTGTTGTCGAGTAATAGCCCAAGATATTTCAATTGGGGGAAACATTTTACCGGTATTCCATGGAGTTTAATGCTTGGATTGCGTCTAAGCTGCCTGTTGCGTCCTATGAATAAAGCTTTAGTTTTCTCTGCCAAAATCTGAAGCTTGTGTGCTCTGGCCCATTGGGAGAACAGATCAAGACAGTACTGAGATCTCATTTCGAAGTTACTCCTTCGTGCCACAACTAGCATAAAATCGTCCGCATAGGCTATGATTCGAGCGTATTATCTAGATAAGTATACGATGACTAAAATACTTTGACTATTAGGTCGCGTCGGTTACATGAAACTATGTCGCGTCGATTGCATCAAGGTGGCCCGTTTGCCCGACGACCTGTGCTTTGCGTTTCTTTGTTCCCATCGCATGTCAGAGCACGGCTAAACTAGGCCTGTGAATATCGCAGTTGGAGCAGTGGGGACACGTACTCATTACGGCTGAATAGTTTTTGTTTTATTCCGTGTTTTGCCATGTTTCTTATTTTTTTAGGACTTTGTATAAAACCAACATGAAGTATTTGCAACTACCAACAACGTTTCCCCACACTAGCCAAGTTAATATTTACTCAGACCAAAGCTTCTTCCTGTCCTCAGACATTACTTCCGGTAAATGTTGTAAATTTCATTGTAAAGTTCGGCATAAACTTGACAGCTCCTTTTTTGAAAAGCTGTAGATCTGCGACATCATTTTAAAGGGTAAGTTACAAAAATACTGGGTATTTATGAGAAAAACTTCCCCGATATATGAATCCCTAACGGCCTACCCGCTCAACCAATCAAAATGAAATTTCATATATTGTTAATTGGAGGTATGCGCTCGAGATTTTGATTTAAAACAGAGCAGCTCTCCCGGTTACGGTTCCAGTGAAACAATTTCAAAATTTTCGAATAGCAACATCCACTTCCTGCGCAAATTCCTCAGGGCACTGAAAAACAATAAATGGCGTATGATAAATATTACCGGCGTAAAACGTTTGCCAAGAAGAGCATTGTTAAGTAGCAATGACAACGTAAGAGAAGAAAGGGAAAAACCTTTTACAGGGATTGCAAGTTTTCAACGTGTCTATCTTCGCAGACGATAACGAACTGCATACGGAAGATTGTTGACAATAATGACGAACGTAACGTCGCAGAAGGAATCTCTATAAATTGACATTTTACGGCATCTTTAAATTCTGATAAATATCGTAGATTTCATGTGCACACCTTAGATTACAAATTATCCCAGAACGAGAATCCATCGGATTAAGGTCGGGTGATCACGATGGCCACGAAATTACATAGTTACAGAAAATGATTCTATCTCCAAAGTACTGCCGCAGCAGTTGCCGAACACATTTTGCGACGAGTGGAGGAGAACCATCTAGCATCCATACAATGTCATTAGCGACATTCCACTGCTTCAATTCTGGAATTACGTAATTCTGCACCATTGCTGTATACCGAGCACTTGTGATGAAGCACATTTAAAACGTGTGAAAATGGCAACTTCGAAGAAATGTGTGTTTGCGATGCCGCAACGCACAGCCACTTTAGCTTCGTATAAAAGCGGTGGTAGCATGTCGTGAGGATTTTCATCTACCCAGTAAACCCATTTCTTGGAGTTTACGTTCCCTAGTAAAGGAGAAATGTGCTTCATCCGTCTATAATATCCAGGCCATCTGCTATTTTCATCATATCTAATGAGGAAAAAATTCGCTAAGTGAACCCGCTATTGCTCGTCTCCAACTTGCAACATCTGTATGCAGTGAAATCGATAAGGAAACAACTGCAGAACAGAGAGCAGAAACTTGAGGATTGTGGTTTTCGGTACATACAAATTGCGGGCAAAACTTCTTGCAGTCTGCAATGGATCTGCAGTAACCGTATTATGCACTTCCGCAACAGTTTCAACAGGAGCACATGGTCGTCCGGATCACGGTCTCTCATATGTGCATCCCGTTTCTTCAAATTTTTTTACCAAATTACGTACAGCTTTTACGGGACATGGGCCTCGTCACAGCAAATTCCGCCGATTTGACTCGCGGTAGCATTGATCTCGAGGTACTCCCCCCATCGGTAGCATTTTCCACATTCAGCTAAAAACTGCTTTATCAATTCACCTCGTTGTTTCCCTGTAAGTGTCATCTTGTTAGCACGTTCGAACACCCGTTTGAAGAAACAGTTTCCCACAATGTTATTGAAGGTTTTCCACAAGTAGTGGATTGGTGCTTCTACTTTCTGTCCCTTGAATTAAGCAAAATGCGTCAGTGACCCTTTTCTCTGTTGTATTTGGTCTCTTACAATGCATTTAGCATTTTACGCCATAAGGTCTGCACTTCTTTGTTAGCATTTTACGCCAGCGGATTTCGGCATGCAGGTATTGCTCCAACGCCATTTATAACTTTTCAATGAGCTGATTAATTTGCGAAGGAAAGAGTGGGTGTTGCCATTCGAAAGTTTCGGAATTTTTTCGCTGTAACCGGAATTGTGAGAGCTTATTTTACATTATCACACTCTAGAGCACACACACCTTCAAATAATATTTGAAATTTCATTTCGATTGGTTCAGCGGATAGGCCGCTAAGGATACATTTATAGGCGAAATAATTTTAGTTTCCCCAGTGTGTGACAGTTTTACTCAAGACAGAATTGCAGGAAACACATATTTAAGTAATTGATTAGTGATTTAAAAGAAACGAACTGCAGCTTTGATATTTTAACATGTTTTCGATTCTTTAAATAAAGTATACTTTTAAAGATGCACTTTCAGTGTGTGTTTTGAAGTTCACATTAAAATCTCTTTATAGATTAATTTAAAAGTCAAACAACAAAACATCACTTTATATATTAATTTAGAAGTTAAACAACAAAACATCTTTTTATATGTTTCATAATATTCAACAAACTATACAACAAACACTAAAAGAAGTGTCAAACCGGCAAAAAGGAAATATTTATGAATTAAAACTTCGTGGTGATTTTTCATAATTAATTTCTAATGTAATAGTTCCTTTCACATTGTTATTTCAGGTAACACGTTATTTGCATCCTATAGTATACTCACTTAGGCGTGGCTTGAAGTAGAGCTGTGCGGCCTTTTGTTCCGGTTAATCTTACGAATAACAGTCCTGTTTCATTTCTATACCTTCGAGAATCTTCTTTACCAGAAAGTAGCACATTTACATGATAGTGATAACCTGATACAAAAGTATAAAAAAAGACATCTAAATTAGTTTCATTTATTTTAAGTAAAAGTAAGATACACTGAACACACTAAGATTTCAACTCATTATTTTTCTTTTTCTACATGGAACACGAGCTACCTGCTAATATTTTATGGAGTGAAATTTTTCAAGATAAACAGAAATCATTTTTCAAGCTGTTATAATTCTAAAAATTCAACGATAGCTACATTATCTAATTACGATTCTTAGAAACTAATTTGTTCATGCAATATATCCTAAGTTCCTAGTGATTCTAGACAATCTTCGATCAAAAAATTTCTTCTGCTTTTGTCTAGGCACAAAATATAATGATATTTAGTTCAGTTTAATATGGAAAGGAACAAAGAAGCCCATATAAAATAAGAATGGATTTTATCTCTAACACAGGAATTACAATGGATTTTCAGTTATCAACACAAACACCTTGCACCACAGACTTAGATGCATGAGGCTCATATCGGAGCAGGAAAGATAAAAAATAAACAGTGTGTCTTCCTGAATTCGAACTCCAGACTTTATGATTTCTAGCCAGACATGCTTCCAATTACACCTCTAAGCCATGTGGCAAGGAAACAGAAAATTCCTTATGCAATATAGTGGTTAGCAGAGGCTAACTGCTACTGTTAATACGAACTTCAGGCTACGAGTTCCAGTCCTGCACAAGGCTTGGTTGTTTTGCGAGTTAGATTTCTCTGTCTTGTGGTGTTCACGGTTGCGACGCACCCTGAGTAACGCTCTCCGTCATGAAATTGCTAAATGTCCAATTGGTTAGTCTGTTCGCGGGGAGCAAATGTCTAGTCATTTGAGAGGGAGGGGAAATAGCTAACATGTAGTCATAAGGAACGTTCTCATTTTCCTGTGCGTGCTGTTGGGGTATAACTGGTAGCATGTCCGGTTAACAATCGGAAGATCCGGAGCTAATATTCATGACGCCTTAGAACTGTAATAAATTCAGATCTTTGATTTCCTTTTACTGAGAATAGCTAAGGTACTGATTATCTTTTGCTTGCCTAATAATTTTTGGAGAGGGTTATTTAATTTATTTTTTAGTTCTGATGATATTTCTTAGTTCTAAAAATGATTATACAACTGCTGATGTATTTTAATTAGTTTTTTCTTGGTATCGAAAATTATTGTTTCAGACTGCAATAAACAGAAATAGAAATTTATAATTTTATTTTTACACACACAAACAAGAAAACAGAAAAAGTAAATTTAATTTATGTTAAAATAAATCTCTTAAAGGAAAAAACTACTTACGGCAGTAAGGCTCCTCTAAACCAGTTTCTAAAAACATAGTCACAGATTCAGAGGAAGCAAATCGAAGAAATTCCTCCGCCTTGTAACCCATAGGAGCACATTGCGACATGTCCTGTCCACATCCTCTGTCACACTGACCACTGGAAAAATTTGCGTACGAGTCGCATTTATAACCGTAGAATGGACAATCCATGTTTACAGACTCCGTAAATAGCTCTGTAGCATGAACAGCTTTACAGCGACGAAAGCTCTTAATTCCTGAAACAAATCAATGAGTTGAACTCAGTTTTAGCTGCAAAGAGATAATGAAACGCATTAATGTGCTTAAATCTACATTAACACACTACTTCCTTTTCTTTTTCTAGAATACATATTTTGTGCTTTTTTTCATTTATCTAATAAGTACAATATCGTAAAATGGACAGAAAAAAGTTGTGAGACTTGGAAAGCGATCGTACTATGAAAACCAACCTCTTGAATTCATGCGAAGCGTTAGTACTTTGCAATCTCAAATAAAGCAGCAGGAACTGCAGTCTACACATTGTAGCCTTACAGCTTAATAATGTCGTGAAATAGAAATTTTTGCAATTAGAATACTGAAATTTAAACAGAGGAACAGGCTGATACAATCTTTAAGATAATTACCGAGTTGGTTAATCAACCGTAGTATCATGTCTAGAAACACCATAAAAAATACACCAAGAACAAACTTCACATTAATTACGTGAATGTTAGTATACTAGCAATAATATTAGCAGCAGCAATGGTAACAACACTAATTATAATAATTCCAAATCATTGCGTTGCAAGATCATAAGTATACAATCAAACGTGTTGTCGGTAGGAAAACTTTGGGTGGTGTATTTAATTATGGCAAAGCACACTAGGGCTATTTGCTTAAAGGGAAGGGATGCCTTCGTGGAGGACGTTCTAAGGGAAACTGGCTCGTATACACGTTACACATGCAGCCAGCCCGTTCGCGGGATTCGAACCTCGGACCGAACTACCAGTGTTCAGCGACTTTACCGCTCGGCCGCTGGTGGGCAGGAAAACTTTGGGAATCGCCGCATTAGTAGTTCCAGATGGATTACAATCTCAAACATAGAAATGAAGACTGTTAAGACATGGAGCTTGCTTGACAATTTTTAGACATGCAATATCTTCAAAATTCTTAGTTATTTGTTACAGAAAGCAAAATTACATCTGCAAACGACTCTTAAAAATAATTCCGAGGAACTTCACATCCGTGTTACGTAATTCGAAAATTAAACTAAAGAGTTAAGCTCTCTAAATGAAAAATGATTGTATACAGAAGTTATAAATTAAAAATATGAACTGTGTAAAACATTCCTACCTTCCAGTAAATTGCAACCAGTTCTTCGCCAGCCAGGGGTGGGATAGAAATCGACATGGCCTGCAGGTTGAAGCATACCTGTAACTATAAAACTTTAATGTAACTACAAGCCATTAGTATTATTACTAACAAGAAGGTATAATTCTCGATGAAATTTTCGAGAGCTGCAAATAGTCTTTGATATATGCGAAGTCACATAAGAACGTAATGCTTAATTTACAATAGTTTGAATAATTTTTTTTGACACATTTTATGTAATAATTAAAAGATTTTAGAAGAAAATTTTCATTAGTACGCGGAAAAAGAGCAAACATAATTAGTGTTTCCATGTCTCCAGCGAAACTGATGATATTTCGGCTTTTGATGACATTTTTCATTCACCAAACTTAACCAAACTGAGTGCGTATCTTCATATATTTTCATGTGTGCAAGGGGAATCATTAAAAATGAAATTTCTTTTCCGTCCTTCAAGAACTCAGAACATGATATTATCAATAAAAAGGATAACATAAACAATACGCAGTATTTTTATATGTATATATACGGAATATAAAACAATGAAAGAATAAAAATTTTAATACCTTTCTATTTTGTATACCTTAATAGATATCGAAGATAAATATCGAGCGTAGCTAATGATAAAAAGTGATATCGTTTGGGTGCTAAAAGTATCGTGGAGGCCATCCTGAATCTTGTCAGAAATCTTTAAATAATAAAAGGCGTAGTAGAGACATTAGGTATTTGTTTGGAAACAGGAGATTTGAAAAATTAGCAACGCCTTCGCCGAGAATCGAACCGTGGACCTCTGGAATACGCGCCCAGCGTGCAGACCACCACACCACGAAGGCATGCCAAGAAGGTGGTAGAAATACCTTATAAAGGGATATACAGGACATCCTTTTAAACTGCAGAAATACTGCACTGCAGTTAGATTTTTTAATATCTTCACTCGTTAAGGAGGAAATGATCGAAAAATCGGACGTGAATGAGCCGTTAATGTTCATTTGTTCTTCATTCGATGCCATGCATCATTAGGTTAACTGTTCAGAAATGAACAGAGATAATTTTTATGAGTGATGGAAGAAATTCTACTGTAAATTTCCGATGAGTCTAACAGTCTGCATTCCAACAAAGCCCTCATTACGCATATGTTGTTACGCATAGTGTAAAACATTAAATAAAAGATGAAATACTCAAACGAAGAAGGCAGCTGCCACTGAATTTGGTGCAACTTTCGCAACATGTCTCATACGCAAAAAGAGTTTAGATGTTACAGGTAACGAATATCAGCCGAAGTTCGATTGCACGCAAACAATGGCATATATCTAATGGCAAATATTTGCATAAGTTTTTTGTTTCCAAGAAGATGTCAGTTAAGTAAGAAAGCTCTTTCCTTCATAAACTGTGAGGTTAGCAGTCAGATTTATAGTAAGATGATTATAGAATTATTCAAAACAATAATGGACAGAACCCAACAAAACTGCTGGTGACATTATACTCATGGTATGGAGTTTGTTTCACCAAGCATAAGAACGATGTTGTTGTTTGACTTCCAAATTAATATAAGATCTTTTTAAGACAGTCAGTACTATGCTGAATCACCTGGAATGAAAATTAACAGGTCTATAAAAAATAACATCCCCTTAACTAACAACAATATCAAAACAGTGGCTGACCATTATTTTTCTGGAAACATCTGGCATGGTGCCAGATATTCTCTGATTTAAAAATTTCAAGATGGTCGCCTTCAACAAGGCGTAATGATGCTCATTATTCACCTATAAATAGCAATTCCTATTCATTTCATGTATTGACTATTTAAATTCCATTCCGGAAACATTTTACGCCATAGAAAGGTGTTTCTAGACTTTTGCCTAAAGCTGCTGATTGAATATTATGAAAAAAAATTAGGGTTTTCAAAACCACTAGTCTCTCAAATTACCAGTCGTAAACCTAATTAAAAAATCCCAATTAAAAATAAATTAACAAGGTAGGCTTTCAGACAATGCAATTTTAATCATGTTACACTTTTATAAAAAAAAGCCTACGAAAATTAAATTCGCATAAAAATATGCATTGATAAAAACGGTTTCCATAATCAAATCAATCAAATTAAAAAAATTCACCTTGATACCTGAGGTATTAATTACCAGAGAGTTTTTATTAAAATATTTGGAGACCCTAAATTCGTTGCTAGAAATAACTGCATATATTACACGAATTTCTAAGAAATAACATTTACTTCAAACATAAAGCAAAAAGAAAGTAATGAGTTTTAAATTCTTATTTTGTAGAAATGCTAGAAGTTGTGATTTTGTATCTGACAAATTTATAAGATTCTTGAAATTCTTTTTGCAGTTCTTTTCTTAGGACAGAAATATGTTAATAATTTTAAGGAAATGTTTTAGCACAATTTTGGGGGTCAATTTTTCTATATTTAATAAAACAAAAACATATATAGTAAGTTAAGAAATAAGGGACTTGCTAGTCAGAGTTTTTTTTCAAAAGGATCCATATAAAAGTCTATGGTTTCATGCGATTTTACTAAAAGGAATAACAAGACAAAAATTGTCAAAGTATGAAAGCCCTACTTGATTTCATTTATTTCACACCTTTGGAAGTTTGTAATTCAAGGTACACTTGCATTTTTTGTAATTCAGAAATGAAAGCAGCATTTTATTTAAAAAAAAAAATATCATTTTAGTTACCGACCTTAAATGCTTGGTAACTTGGAGAAGGAAATAAAACTCAATATCAAATCCCGAATTCAGATTTAAAATACTTATAATCTACTTAAATACCATAAAAATGAGATGCTGCGACATGTCTGGTTACACTCTTCCGTAAAGATATATATTTTATATTATTTAACAACTAGTAATTCTGGTACATTTTAATATTTTATGCATTTTAATCGTTCCGAAAATATGCAAGTTTGAGTTATGTAACGTACTCGTAAACATATCATACTTTTTAAAAAATACCAAAATCCTGTTTTCAAGTTAGAAAAGCGTATTTTCTCCTCTGCCCTTTTCCTGTTATTCTATAGCAAAGACTGGACATCGTATGCCTGTTTACAGTACACTATATATTTTTAACAATAAATGATCGATTAAATAAAAATTAAACAGAGCTTGTAGAAGTTTTAACCTTGTTAAACTTCTAGAAGGTTAAATAAAGCTTTAACCTAAATTAAGCTTGTAGAAGTTCATTAGGTGTTTCAAATTAAAAAACCTAATTAATCAGTTCGGCCCTTGTTGAAGTTCAAATCCAATTGGCTAAACGTGATAATCACTTACACCATGAGAACGAAAATTTCTTACAAGCTGTCTGATGCATTTAAGTTTTAACTTGTTTCCATGCATAAAAGAAATAAAACTATTCGCTGTCCCAAAGCTGCCTAATCTTATAAACATTTTACGGATTTATTACATTTACTCGTTCTATTTTAGAACTTCGATTCATTTTCCACAATTTTAAAGCTGCTCAGTGCACATTGTATTAACTACATTATCATCACGTCAAGAGAAAGTACGCACTATTTCAAAAGCTACGAATTTAGTTGCTTTTCTAGAATCTGTATGGCATCCTCTGAGAGAATTGAAATCTGTAATTACTTCCAGTAAATACATAACGAAATAAACCGTTGCTATAGAAATGAAGAATCTGACATCTGAGATACCTTCTGCAGCTCTTGGATTATCAGTGTGTATGACATCAACAAAGAGCGCATCGCTGGGATCAAGACGAACCCTGGGATCAGTATCTTCAAAATAAGGACCAGCAGGATCAAGACCTAAATAAAGGAGAGAAAGTGAAGGTACGAATCCATGTTATGTAAGTAATTATAGTTTTTATGCATATATCTATATATATGCTCTTTTGCAGAGCTTAAATATGAGGAAGACAATAATTTTATTGCGATAAAAAAAAGAGATAATTGCGACATGAAGAGCTAAAGTTCGCGAAATTTTCGTGGCGCTGTTTTTGCTTAAATTATTTTACGGAATCACATTAGAATTTCTGGTGAAGGAGCATATGCTCCAAAACCGAATCTTTAACATAGGTAACCAGTATATATTTTAACTAAATAAAAATATACATTTTTGTTTAAAATTTACATTTATAAACCTATCAGATTATGAAAACGTTGTTTCAGATCAAGATTACTATTTAATTGGATAATATTGTGTATTTGCAGATATTCTTCATTAAGTTTTTACAAAAGATCGATCGTCATTGAAGGGCACTTCATTTTATTCCGGAAAACATTTTTCTTTATATTCTAGTAAAACTTAAGGTAATTCAATATTGTGCTTTGAATTTTAAGAAAGGATTATTTTTCGGAAATTCTAGTGAAAAGTAGGTATACAAATTATTTAAATATGGTAATAATGATCTAACACTTATAACAGCAATTTGGAGTTGCTCTAAAGTTATTGTTATTACTACGGGTCACTTGAATTAGCATTGCCATAAACTAAAATTGAAGAACTTTTCTATTTTCAATGGTCATAAGGATGTGATGCACCGTGTCTTTAAAATTCCTTATGCAGCCTTTAGTTTCGTAACCTCTGGTTTCAAACATAGATTTCTGGTTATAAAAAAATTTATAGATAAGGAAAATACTCATGTTATCGCATTTTTAAATTAAAAAAAAAAGTTTTGTAAAACTTACGAAACCTAACTTTTTATATAGACCCTGAACCTTATAATTATGTTTAGTAAAAGTTTATACTCTTTCTAAAAAATAATGTTCCGAAAGTTTCACTTCGGTACGACAAAAACGGACTAAGATATTAATTTCTGAGATTATGTGCATGAGTCGTGCACGAACTGAAGAGCGATATGTTTGCATTTGTATGCAGCTAAAAATTAAATATAAGATTATAAAAAAAATTCTGATATTAATAGCATAGTTTTAACTACGAGCATAGCTACGCAACCGGTTGTAAGAAATAGTAATCAATTAATTTTTTTCCCAAAAAAGAGATCTTAGCACAGAATCTTATACATAAATCTCGTGTTCTAAAACAATGGCAAGCTTTTTATACGAATATAGTCCATTAATAACATTATTTACATAAATTAAGCATAAAAAATATTAAATAAATTTTTATTAAATTACTATTCTAAAGTAATAAAACTGCATGAGAATGTATTTTTAGTTTTTGAAACCTTGTAAATTACTTATATGAAAATTCTTTCTTGTTACCATATGCAACAAAGCTATAAATTAAAGAATGTTTCACAGTTAGTAAATCACAAAAGAATATCACCAGGCGGCATTAAAAGGAAAAACATCAGCCTCGAGTTAATCTAATACACTTTCTCACAGACCCCTTAAGAAAGCCGAAGTGTGTGCTACAAGTCCCTAATTTCGAAATAAAATATCTCGATCAACTTTTGTAACTTAAGTCAAACATCTTACGTATGCTGTGTTTTTTTATAATGAGCATAAACTTTTAAATATAATGACGGAATCAAGAGATCATATAAAAAGATTCCATAATCTGTATATAATTATTTTTTCTAATTTAAAAATGGTAAAATATGCTAGTTGCGTCAATGAAAATAGTTTTGTAAGTGGATGTCGGCCAACGGCTTCGAAGATAACGGCCACATAAGGACTTAAAAGACACGGTGTGTATTGAGGCATTCAGATATAATGGCTAAATAGTGAACTGTCTAGCTTTGCTACTTTGAGCTATAATGATGTGATTCATTTTAAGACTCATTAAAATAATAATGACGAAACTCGTTTGGCTTAAAGATCAAGGATTATCTCCTTGATCTATCATATCCTTGATCATAGTTTAGATATGATAATGCAATAACTCGACTTCACTTACTCAATAAAATCTACCTGAAATTACTAATTTTTCAGATTACCAAGCTGAATACGTATACCAAGCAACTGTGGTTGCCAAAAAATTATAAAATAACCTAATATTTTCAGTACCAGCTAGATGAAAATTTTCGTATTAAGGATGCTAAGACGGTTAAGTAAAATCCTTTTTCTCTGTTCTAATAATCCTTATCTGAGAAATTACAATACTTCTGCATTCAGTTTAAATAATCCGATACCAATATTAAAATAAAATAACTTATCAAAATTGTTCTTACTTTTAGGTATAAAATTTTTTTTTATTTAGTTTACGTAGAATAGATTTGCATGACCTTGAATTTATTAATTTAGCCCAACTTCAGCGTAATTATGGAACTTCTTAAAGTGATTATATTAATGAAACAAAAGCTCGCACTTCAAAGATTAGGTTGGGTTATTTGGATACGGCATAGCACACGAGAGCTAGTATCTACTTAAGAAACGAAATGCTTTCCTGCAGGACTTGCTAAGATAACTTGGCTCGTATTAACATTGCACATGGAAAAGCCCGAAAAACTCCCATGCGGCTAGACTCGCCTGAGTTTGAATCCGAATTTCAACTACGAGCGTTCAAGGGTCTTAACCATTCGGCGATTGATAGGGCACACAATGCTAAGAAATAAGCAGGAAAATCTAGGCTGAAGTTCTATGTAAGGAATGCATCACTTAAGCTCCGCCTATCGAAATCGCTGATAAGAAGTTTTTAATGTATAAATGCTTCAGACGAAAGTTTTCAGTTAGAATCTCACTACTACTAGCGATTTTTACTCTCTTTCTTTTGTTTTTTCTCCCACCAAAATTATTCATTCTTTTGATCTTTTTTATTATTTGGAAAAAAGGTTTCTTTTCGTGAAAAAATATTTTAAACGAAAAAAAATTAAACAAAAAATGCTAATAAAAAATTCAATTAGTTTTTCCTGAATGTTTCGTCATATTTCAAAAGTTTTCCAGGAGAATTCGCTAGAATATTCAGTCAGCATTCATTCTGAACTGAATATACTTGTATATCATCAAACGACTTTTCCGCTTTTTTGAGCCATATTGAAACTTGCATAGTTAACATTAAAATTAGAGATAAAGAAATTTTATTCATATTCATAAATTATGACTTAGCCTTGACATTTTAAAGAAAATATTTTCTAAAAGATAGATAGGTAGTAAAGAGCCAACAATTAATCAATGTATCTGATATAGAAATATTTTACAATTTGAAGATTTTAAAATTAAATAAAAAAATGGAACGACTTTCTTACAAACCTTTTGCATTATATCACTTTTTTTTCATTCCTTTAGAAAAGTTTCATCAATAAGCTCTTTAAAATAAATAATATGAGAAACAGAGCTCGTGGTAACGGCTTTGAACAGAATTTTTGTCTGTACCATTTACTCATGATCCAGTACACCACTGAGGCTTCCACATGACGTTTAACTTAACATATAATGTTACTCAGATTTTTAATGTCGATTTCCTCACTTATTGGAGAAGAGCGCTTTTCTGTTCTATAGATATATTCCCCCTAGAATCTTCCATAACTACTCAGAGTTTGAACTAAATTGGGGATTTTAAGATCGTTCGTTTTAGTTTAACTTGAAAGTATAGAACTTATAACACATATTTTTTTACTTGCAGAGTATTCTTAACATACCAAAATTATACACACTACGCCACATTATACCGAAGCTTGTTTTTTTTCCCTTGAGAAACATCTTAAAAATTGTACGGTAGTCTAAGATGTGAGATAATATGATATTCGGGTTAGTATAATATTTAATTTATGATGCTCCTGTATTTAGTTTTCTCGAGCGTAAGTATCTAAAGCAATTTAATTATCTTCACAGATGGGAAAATACTTATTTTCTATAAATCTATTTTGCTTTCCCGAAGTCTTTAAAGACGTAAGCTTTCAGTGCTGCATTACCTTACCTGTTATTCTACCTAATCGTGGAAGCTGTTCTCCAACATATCCGGCGGCATGTGCACCTAAGTTATAGCCGATGATATGGACATCAGAAGGCGAAATCCTGTACTTGCGCTGCAAAAGAAAAAGTTACTTAGTTACGGAAATAAATATACATTGAATTCTATCTACAAAACAAATATTCTGCGCACACGATTTACATCCCAAAACATTAAATGCCATCTGCTTTGAGTTTTTTATTATAAAATGAAAATAACCAGAAAGACATGTCTTTCAGTATAACAGTTAAGTATAGACATATTTACTGTACATTATTATTTTACGTCAGTACAGTAAGTATAATTCTTCTCAGCATATTTATCACAAGGTTAAAGAATACATTCCTCTGGAAAAAATAGTAATCTCTAATAAAAAATATAGGGTATTCGTAAAGCTCTCTAACAGTGAATTAATGAAAACCATTGTGTATGTAATATTTATCGTATTCTACAACAATATCGACAAAATCATGATAAATTATTGAGATGGGGGAAGGACTATCTACGTTAGTCTTAGACCATGGGTATCAGTTGTGATAGCATAACTTGGTGTTGAACTAAAAGCCTAAAACTGTACTAATTGGATAGAATCATCTGTCAGATGATAATTACCTGAAGCTTTCCTGCTACCGGTTACATGAATTCTGTCTACTGTAAGTAAATGCATGACAAATTATTGTATTGATAAGATTCACCAATTTTCCAACAACAAGTCTCTTGTGAAATAATTTGGTTGATTGTCCAAAATGAATATTTGGTCAAATTTCAATCGTACTTTGACAGTAATTAAAGTTTCAGCCTAGATAAGACGCAGAAGCAATACTGGTCCAACTGGTCTCCATATATCTATCTTACTGGTAATTTTCTGTGTGGAATGCTTAAACGACAGTATTTGAACGAATAACTCATGAGACTTAATCCTAATGGATTGAATGCACACAGAACCGACGATAGCTTGATAAATTTTATTTTACCGAAAGAAATACTTTATAAGGAACTTTCCACAAAAGTATTCTTATAGCTCTCCTCAATATCACACAGCTCAATTAGCAGTTACACTTCAAATACTAAAAATGTTTTAAACACAATGCAATACAAGGAAAGAAAGGTGAGAGAAGCAAACGCAATGCAAAGAAAGAGAGAGAGTCATCTAAAGAAGAGAAGCTCACACGGAGATATCTCAATACACCGTAGTACTCAATGCTCTGAATAAAACAAAAAAACAAAAAAAAAACCGAAAGCTTTCCCGGCAGCCAAGAAATCTCTAATACTTTCCATTTCTCGAAATTACTGGAAGACATATAAGATTAAAATAATGTATAAGTACGCTTACAGCTACATATAGAGATAAATGGCAGTACCAATTATAGTTATACAGGAACCGGACCCAAATGGTCGCCAAGTTTGGCGACAAAAATTAGTTGTTAAAAACCTTCGTCAAGTTTGGCGATATTTCACTTAATTGGCGAGATAGCCATTTACCTCAAGGTTAAACAGACTTGTCCCTGGAATTTTGTTTTTCCGCCTGAGCTTCTTTTTTTTCAAGCATTTCATGTTACATTATACGTAAAATACTACAGTTTCACATATTATAAAATATTTCTCCAGCCTTCTTAGCATGCCTTCGCGGTGTAATGTTCAGCACGCTCGGCACATATTCGAGAGGCCCGTGATTCGAGTCCCGGCGAGGGCATTGCTCATTTCTCATGTCTCCTGCTTCGAAATAACCTAATGTCTCTACAGTGGCGCCCGAACAGGGACGAAGATGATGGATGATGATTCTCCACCAGGATTTGGCGATAGGGACCCCTAATCCCCAGTCAGCCTTTGAAAGGGGGAGTATATAAGGTATTTCTCCCGCCATCTTAGCATGCATGCGCGGTCAGCACGCTAGGCGCGTGTTCGAGAGTACCGAGGTTCGAGTCCCAGCGAGGGCACTGCTCATTTTTCATGTCTCTTGCATCCTAATAGCCTATAATGTCTCTACAATATAATTTCACTAAAACTATTTATATATATACAAAATTCGTAACACTATCTATGCTTAAACACTAGGGAAAAGAAAACCATGTTTTGTTGCACAGACAGGCTGGATACGTTACAGCAATCCAAAATGTATCTAAAATGCATAAAAATTGCAGATAAAACTATGATGCAAGTGAGGAGAAAATCAAATTTTCAGTCAGAAATTTGCATTAAAACTGTTTCGAAAATTGATATTTGTAATAGTTATGAGACTATGAATGGTCTAGAGGAAAAACTGTAAAACATCTTCTTTCAGCAACAAGGAAAAGATTAGTTCAGAGAAATTTGGCTTGTTTGTAACAAATGAAAAAATAAACAGTAACAGAAAATCAGAAATTTTAGTATCATAATGCCATTCAATTCATGAAACATTTTTATAACTTTATATTACTTTCATTCATTGCAATAGTGAAATCTTCAAAGAGTAACTGCTTAAGATTTAATTAAAGGCGATTTTTAACTTTAATTTACAGTACTCAGTCTGCAGGTATTTAAAAAAAAACGTTATTTTTGCAGACTGATCACAATTTTAAAGCACTCTAACTTTTGTCATTGTTGATTCACTTAGCTATTCAAATACTGCAAAAAGGTTGTAGATATGCACAAAGCGTCATGTGAAAGTAATATCTAAGGGAAAGACTAGCTCTAAAATTTACCATTCAAGTTCACTGCAAAGGTAATGTAATTTCCACCATACAGTTTCAGAATATTTACTACATAGTTCCATTTTAGTTTCCGAAAATAATGCCTAAAAACTTTAATTCACAAAATTAAAAAACCTTCTCTTTGTTGTATGCGTTTACACGTTTTCATTTGATACTAAATATTGATCTTAATTTAAATGTTTCCTTTTCAGCGCGAAAATCATAACGCAAAACTCATCAGGCACTATTAAAACTGCAACAAAAATCACTTATAATAAATAAAATATGCTTATGGCATTGCTTTGTAAAGCTAAAATTACACATTTAAAAAAAACATCTTCTTGAATCCTTAAATAAATTTTATTCAGCGTTTTGTTATCCCGGTTGCTTTAAGAAAGTATATGCGATTAAGTATAAAATCATTCCTTAAGTTTCAGCTAGCAAGAGAAACATTTATAGAAATGTTGATAATTTGGTTAATTTAAAGAATTTAGCAATTTTTGAAGCAATAAATCATTACTGTAACATGATAAAGTGGTTCATTATTGTTATTATTTGGTTTATGGTAACTCACGTGGAGTATATTTGTCTAAGAGAAAAGTGGTTTCTTGGAGGCATTTTTGAAAGGAACTGCATCGTATTCAAGGCACACATGGGAAAAAACACGAAATTTCCCATGCAACCAGGCCTTTCGCCGGCATTTGAGCCTGAACGAACTACTAATGTTCAGTGATTTTACCGACTTTTGGCCGCTGCTGGATAAACATAGCAGAGTTTAAAGTGCAAGAAGATTTGGGAGACCATCATAGCTGTCTTGTGGAATACAATATTCTCCAAAAAGATTTCAGTGACAGAAGACCGCGTTGTTCCCCTACTTTCAGCAGAATGCATTTAAAACCCGTTAATTCACAGTTTATTAAAATAGTAATCCCATGTAATAGGTGTCCTGATTGGGTAAAAAGGAAAAATATTTACGTCAGTGAAAGAATAAAATACTTATTCTTTCTTTCTCACCGTAAATGAGAAGTAATAATTATGAATACTGGAAGAAGATAATATTTAGTGAAATAAATCTAATCCATAAGTGAGCAATCTTTTTTTAAACGGGCAAAATATTTTTTAGAGGCGAATGCAAGAAACGTATCAGTTGGTCTGGATTTGAAGATACAGAAGACATAGCAACTTGCACGTAGGTTTGAAATCGTGCGACATTTAGACTCAATTGGTTGTCGCTTCTAATTATTTTCATTGAGGAAAATAACTACAAAACGTGTCATGATCTGCATTGCATACATGACTAATCCTGGAAATTTTTCTAAAATTATCTACCCACATTGATGCCCGCGTTCTGAAATGAATTCCTCACATGAATGGTGTTTTGCAAATCTACCAATTCCATTTTTAACTCGTAGAGAACTATTTTCACATCTACATTAAATGGCGAGGAAATGTATTAAAAGTAAAAACGTTTATTTCCGATCTAAATGCTTTAAATCCGGATTCAAATTCAGTTATTAGTTTTTGTATTTGCTTGGCATATTTTTATGTTTCTGAAGGAATTTCTTTTTTCAAGTATGGAAAACATGACGTATCGTTTGACAACAGATGTTTTTCCAAATTTTGAGTTTGCTTTCAAAAGCTTTAATTTTATCAAGCTTGTTATGTATAAACTGACTTTTTCCTTGAAATTTCCATGTTTCAGCCATACAGATGCTTAGTTATACCGAAACAAAAGGCAAAACTACTCATCTATTCTGTATCGAATGGGTATTTTTGCGTTTCCACAAATAATTTATTTTCATCTTTTAAGTTAGATACTCTTTTTAGCATAGCTCCTCTACCCAACAAGTGTACTTCTGCATTATAAATTATATCGCCATAATCACTTTCCAAATCTTTTAAAAAATCTTTAAATTCACGTTGATTTAATACTTGAGATTCGAGATAATATATAAGGATTATTACAGTCGTTTTAACATCTGGCATATTTAAAGTTTTTGCGAAAAGCTTCTTTTGAGGAATTAAGCAATGATTAACAAATATATCTGTCAAGTTTTTTATATCATTAAATTATATTCCTGCAACTCTTACTTTCATGTTAGCCATCGCTCGTGCTCCCTCGCTTCATAATGCAGATAATATTTTACAATGAAATTAATAAATTCTCCAACAGCGATTTTATCATTAAACAGGTTTCATTTACCTGTCGCAATCATTGGCATCAGTGAACCTAGGACTCTATCGCCAGATGAAAAACTTTGATCTTTAAATATATTTTGCTATTGTTTAAGCTTTTCTGTAATTCATTCAATTTCGCTTTTTGCATTTGGCCTTGGTTGACTTTATAATTTGTGTCATGTTTCGTCTCATATTGTCATTTAATATAACATTCTTTTAACACGGATAC